GGTCTCATCCTTTACACATGCAGAACTTTTTCCTTCTCTTCAGCATTGAGAAATAATGATAACCTCAAACCAAAGAGTATCAAAAAACCCTCAAAGATTTTAAAATTTGTGATGACCTACAATTAGGTCATTTAAACACCCAGCCCCTGTGAGCAAACTAACTGCTCACCTTTATTCTATTTATAATTGAGTAGCTTTACAATTTAAATAATACTTTTCTCCCACAACCACCTCACTGCTTACCACCAAATCTTTGTATTAGGTACTGGAATAGACAGGAAAGATGACCTGTTAGCACTGACTCCAGATGTTCAGGGGTCTGCTAAATCATTACCCCAGAAATCAGACTAACTACATGACATAGACCCAGTGCTTGGAAGAACCCTGACCCCACTTTATTTTCCTGGACTCTCCATATATTTTTATGTACTCTCCAAAGACAAGGGTAGGCTCACCTTCTTGCTATCTACTGCATGCACTGGTGACTCAATGCGTGCATTATCCCAATCTGCCCTCCATTCACATTTAACTCCTATGCACTAAAAGGAATAACAGAATCTGCCGAGTTGGAAGGGACCCACGAGGATCACTGAGTCCAGCTTCTGGCCCAGCACAGCTCCATCCTAAGAGTCACACCAGGTGCCTGAGCATTGGCCAAACACTCCCGGAGCTCTGTCAGCCTTGGTGCTGTGCCCACTGCCCTGGGGAGCCTGTCCAGTGCCCAGCCACCCTCTGGGGGAAGAACCTTTTCCTAACCTCCAACCTGGCCTCCCCTGACACAGCTTCAGGCCATTCCCTCAGGTGCCATCACTGTCACACAAGCAGAGATCAGTGTCTGCCCCTGCTCTTGCCCTCAGCAGGGAGCTGCAGACTGCAGTGAGTCCCCTCAGCCTCCTCCTCTCCCGCTGAGCAGAGCCAGTGCCCTCAGCAGCTCCTCACACGGCTTCCCCTCGCGGCCTTCGCTGTCCTCGTGGCCTCCTCTGGACTCTCTCTAACAGTTTGAGATCTTCCTTACACTGTGCTGCCCAAAGCTGCACACAACACTCGAGGTGAGGCCCCCAGAGCAGAGCAGGACAATCCCTCCCTGGCCCCACTGGCACTGCTGGGCCTGGTGCCCCAGGACAGGGATGGCCCTGCTGGCTCCAGGGCACTGCTGGCTCAGATCCCACTGGCCACCAACCAGCACCCCCAGGTCCCTTTGTGTGGTGCTGCTTTCCAGCATCTCCTTCCCCAGCTGTCCCCACACCCAGGGCTGCCCCAGCACAGGTGCAGAATCCAGCACTTTTCCTTGTTGTATGCAGTTATAAAGTATTCTGCAATTAGAAAAAAAATCAAGACAGGAATGTAGCAGAACAGTATTTGTATCAAGTCCTCAAGCAGGTTATTGTGGCACCTCTCCCAGCATGAGACAGTTTAACCAAGGAAGCAGAGACACTTTGGTGTAAGGGAAACTGCTCATTTTGCAGCACACAGGGAGAGGAAGGTAGTTCTCAGATGAGCACAGTTCTCTGCCCCAGAGAACTAGCATTTACAGAGGCACATACAAAAGAAAAACAATGCTATGGTGAAGCCACACACAATTGTTATATTTACATGCACAGACACACTGCACACCTTCTGAATAGGTAAGAATCCTTGGCACCAAGGAACATTCAAGCCAGACACAGAGACACAATATGCTGAGCTGGAAGGGACTCACAAAGATTATCAAGTCCAGCTCTTAGGTGAGTGGCTAATATGAGGGCTGAATCCCCAACCCTGGTGCTATTAGCACCATACCCTAACCAACATCATCAATGAACACCAGAATGGTGATGACAGCAACAGCAAAAACATTAGACACATGCAAATCTTCAGCATGTCACTAAAAAAGACATAGATCACTCCTCCACCGGGGTGCCTGGCAGAGCCTGCTGAAATCAGTAGGCCTGCACTGACAAAAGCACAACACCAAGAACACAGTCCTCAGTGTAACTACTTAGCAGTTCCACTACTATTTATTCCCAGACGACCTCTCTTAATTCAACTTTGCATAAAATACCTCATGCCTAATGTCAAGTTATGATTAAGAGTATTTTTCTTTTAGCTCAGTTCAGCCCACTATTTCATTCACTACTGGTCTCACCTCTTCACCACGTTAGCTGCTGTCTTGCTCCTGGCCATCAGAATAGTCTCAAAATTGCTGTTCTCTGTACCAGAAAATATTGCTATTGTAACAGAAGCTAAATTAAAACACTTGTGTCATGAACAAGGGCAAGAGTGTGAGAGTGTGGCAAAAGGCCAAATAAAAAGGGAGATTTGTTACTTTTCCTTCCCAAGGGGTTTAAGAAAAATGTGCAAGATTAAAAAAATAACTGTTCCAGCCCTTTTCCCTGATGTATGACAACATGAAAGAGACCCTCCAAATCACTTCTCACAGGAGGCTGTGTAAAAACCCTAGTTTCTTGCATGACTAACGTAAGAATACTAATGATGTCATTGTCACCCCTTTGGATCACAGCCGTCCTACAAATCATTACTTCTTACTGGCAGCCGTGCAGCACGAGTAAAACTCTGTTTAAAGTCTCACTGGGAAAAACGTAGGTGATGTAGTAACTGGTATCTTTGCTATCACTTTAGAACAGATTAGCAGGGATGTGGACTACCTCCCTCTTTCACTCCCCTGAGGGATTCTTTGCACATGGGGTGTGTGGGAGAGGAGATTTGTCTTGCGACCTTATAAAAAGTTGTTGACTTTTGAGCATATTCACTTTTTAAAGGAGGAGGAACGAGAAACAGTGGGGTCATAAATTTATAGTTACATCTCCCAGAGACCCTCATCTTTCTTATACACATGATGTTGATCAGAGAAGATCCGTGGGGCAGGGTCCTTGTTTGCCACAAGGCATGCAGAAGCACTCAGGAGAAAGCGTTTCAGTGCTGTCAGTTGTCTCAAGAATGACACAAACACGCTTCCCCTGCATCTCTACTGTCTGCAAAAATAACAAAATTGACAAAAAGGAAATAAAGAGAAGTTTTCCATGCCAACAAATCATTCCACAAACATCTGTTGTTCCTGATCAGTGAGATTCCATGGAAGGTAAGGAAAGATTGATACTCAGGGTGTATATGTTAAAAGACAACACAGCAACCAGAGACAATACAAAACTGTCAGGTGCTGCACCCAAAAGCTGGACAAATCCCAAAAGATAACCCCAAAGGGGTTATCTTAGTGCCCTGACCCTTTCACAGCTCTCTAACACTGAAAAGATGAAATGTAATGGGAAACAAAAAGACAACAGGACCAACCCTGAAGTTTAAAAAATAAAAATAAAAATTAATAATAAAAAATCCCAAACAAACAGAAAATGCCCCATGAAACTCCAGCCTATGCATTAAGAGTGACAGATTAAAGACTTCATTGTTGACAGTAAAAGTGACATTTGAAGCATGGGAGAGGAAGCAACAAGACCTTCAAAAAATCAGCAGCAACTTTCAATTACAATGAAACAATACATAAAAATAGAAGCTTAAGACTGAGGACCCTTTAATGCCTTATGGAGCACTCAGGGACAACAGTAAACAAGGTGCTGATATACTTTACACTGCAAACAATGTTAGTAGAAAGCCAAATGGGACAAGCCCCAAATCAGAGTGAAATTTCAAGGCATGAAGTTTGAGATAAAGGGCTGTAATCAAATTACACCACAAATGGGTCCATTCATCTGTAAGCATTTAAACAGAGAGCACTGAATTACAGTTTGAAATAAAACAAATTAATTTGCTTTCTATTCTTAAATATCTATTCATTATTTTCCTACTGCCAAAGAAAATTTCCCACCTCAATACAAGAATGAATGTGGGGAGAAAACTGAAATACTAATTATCAGGCAAGAAAAACAAGAAGAGTTTGAATTGTGTTATTTACATTCCCATTCCTCTTTCTGAATAGCGTGAAGTCAACAAACTAAGTGAAGACAGAAGAATCTGCAATTGCAATTCAAGTTGTTTTGTGCAAAAGGCCTAGCACCTTACGTACATCCAATAAACTGGCCACAGTATTTTCTTTCCTCCCCCTAAATAAAAAAATAATTCTGTCAGTGCCTTCAGTGCTTTCCTCTATGTTTTTCCTTCTCCCGAAAGCTATCACAATCCAAGTGACTTAACAGCACAATATTTAAGTGCAGGGCATGCATCGCCCCTCGTCCTCCCCCAATTTGGCAGCGCTGGAAAAGCACCTTTTAAACCAACCCGCGTGTGGAGGACCCGCTCTTTTTATAAGCGCTGCAAGGAACAATAATCCGGGGGGGCGAAAAAAGACCCCCCAAAATACCAAACCCCAGCAAAACCAGAGAGAGCGAGAGAGGAAAAACCCCAGCAGCACTCCTCCTCCTCGGGCTGCTGTTGTTGCCTTTGTTGTCCGGCGGGCGCCCCGAGCCTGCGGCCGGCCCGGCCGGGCCCCCGGCCCCCACCTGCTCCCATTCATCGGCCGGGCAGCGGCGAGCAGGAGCACGGGGGCTGCCCCAAAGCTGCACGGGGCACCCTGAACTCCAGCGCTGATCCTCAGCACCATCACCCCGTCTTGGGATGGGGGGGTGTGCGCAGAGAAGACGCAGGTGTTCTCCTCACCCCCCAAAATCCCTGCCCTCTGGCGAGGAGGGCGACCCCCCCCAGACAGCAGCCTGACTCATTGAAGGAGGGTGCCATCACCCTGCCCCTTGGCAGGAAGGAGGGTGACCCCCAGCCCAACGCTGTCCCCTTGCAAGGAGGGGTGTCCCCCATCCCAGGACCCTGCTTTATTTTTCCCCCCCCAAGGAGGAGAGCGCCCATCAACCCACCCCCTTTCCAAGGAGGTTGCTCTGCTCACTTGCAAGGCAGATATCCCCCACCCCAGCCCCTGGGAGGGAAGGAGGGTGCCCTGCCAGCACCCAGTCCCCTCGTAGCAAGGGGGATACGCCCCCAACACTGTCCCCTCGCAAGGGGGACACCCCCTCCCCCGCTGCCCCATCCCCAGCACCTACCTCGTCTTAGAGGACAGGAAAGCAAGTTTGATTAATCCATAGGTAAACAACTGGATGCTCTCCTTGGCTATGCTGGCCACTCTGAGCCTGTGCTCTAGGATGTGCAGTTCCATCTTTTCCTCTTTCTCATTTGTAGTTCATCTATCCCTGGGGTTTATGTTGTGTTTTTGAATGGGGAGGGGGAGGGGGGGCTGTTATTGTCGGTGCCTTCTTTTTTTTTTTTTTTTCTTTTTCCCCTCCCCGCTTCCGTCTGTCCCTTCCCAGCTCCGGGGGCAGGAGCAGGGGATGAGGGAGCAGAGGGTGCAAAAGTTGGAGCGGCGGGGAGGCCGGCGGGGCGCGGAGCGGAGCAGCGGAGCCCGGAGTGCCGAGCAGCTGGTGCTCGCTGGAACAAACAACTTGCCACTCAAGCCCGGCCCGGCGCGCATGCGCCGCGTCCCGCGGCATGCCGGGACTTGAAGTCCGCGCCGCCACGGCCGGGGCCGCCCCGCCCCTGAGGGCGCCCGCCCGGCCCCACACCCCACCCGCCCTCAGGGACGGTCATTTAAAAAAAATGACAAAGCATTAAAGCGACAATCAGCGCTGCTAAGGGTGTTGTTTTGGTTTGTTTAATTTTCTTTTGTACTAATCGGCTTGCTGGAAAATCTTTCACAAACCAAAAACTAGCAGGAAGGAGAACTTTAGAAGTTTCATTAACAGCATGGAAATACTCAAACCGTACCTTGTTCATTCCTTCATATGGCAGATGGGAAATCCTTGTCTATTGCACTGTGCAGCAAAAATAATGTGGGAAAAACCGTCTACTTTGCATGTGAGTGTTACAGAGGTAAGATCACAGCTGTCAAGAACATAAAAGTGGCCCTGTGTGTGTTGTAATGCTGGAAGGGTGAACTGAACGGCTGAGGATGAATTGAGTGGCTGGAAGGGTGAATTGAACGGCTGAGGGTGAACTGAACGGCTGAGGATGAATTGAGTGGCTGGAAGGGTGAACTGTTTGTCCCCATTCTTGCCCCACTCCTCAACACAAAGAGGCTGAATGGAGGTAGCAAGGGATGGGCTCCAAACCAGTCCAGAATTGGGATTGCTCCGGGGTGTGAGCACCTCTGCGCTGCACCACTGGCACCGTGCTGACCGACAGCTGTTAAATTCAGCCTCGGGGTATTCATAAAACAGGGCTTAGGCAATAAAACTGGTTCAGTTTCTGTACAAGGGTCCCTCTGACTTCAGATCACACAGATTCTGCTGTGAACACACCACCAGCACCTGGTCACCATGGCCCTTTTCACCAAAAGATTTCAAATAAGCTTTTCAAAGACCATCAAGAGAAATCTTTCTGTTCTACACAGGGAAACTGAGTCATGGGATGTGTCCAAGGGGCCAAGATAAGAGCTTAGCCAGCCAAATCCCACTCCAAGTGACTCCTCTCCCCTACAGAGCAAGAAGAGCTTCTGCAGCTGTAAGTTAAGTTTTTTTAGGGTCTGTTGTGTTGCAGAAATCCCTTGTCTGCAGATAAGCTTCCAAAACTAGGATTTCCAAGCCCTTTCTATTTTGTTAATTCCCATGGGATGGCTGCATTTTTCCCCTGGACATGTCTGCTCTTCCTCTGTCTGTGGCAATACTCCTGAAAGGCTCTCTTAATTTTACTACATCCAAAAAGGAAAAACTTGAAATTTGAGGCATTCATATTGATAGCTTGTCAAAATCATTTAGAGTAAATGCAACCAACACAAAGTATCAAATCTCTACTTTGTTTTTAAAAAGCATTTAAAAGACTAGTTTTCCTTCATGGCCTCACAGTTCAGATGACTCCAGGCATTGCATTTCAGCAAGCCAAAGAGGATTTTTAATCCGCTTCCACTGCCAGTTGAAGGTCTTGGACTGCAAAGCTCTGAATGTGTGTGTGCCTAGCTACAAAAAATGCCTGCAACTGCATCTACAAATCACAGAGATACATACCTGTGTCCTCTGGGACAACACAGACCACAGAGTCCAGAAGGAAGCAGGCAGTGACAAAATACATACACACCATCTTGGTTGCTGGGATCTTCCAGAGGAAATCAGACAAATGTAGCCTGAATCATTTCTAGGAAATGCTGCAAAACTTTCCTCTTTTAAGAGATTTTTCCATCATAGTCAGGACGCCATTCACAACATCAACTCTTCCCCTTCCCATGTAGAGAAAAATATGTTGCCCCCCAGCAGAGCTTTCTCAACCCAGAGTCCAGACACTCCAGGAAGGCCACCAGGGATTATGCTGTTACACACTAATTACCACAGAAAATGCTTACATAAAACAATGAGAAAGTTAGAACAGACCCAAAGGTAAAATGTGTGGGAACCTTTTGAACAAGCAACTCATCAGAGACTTTGTTCTCCCTGCAGGGATGGAGAAAAGGAGGCCCTGAGTTAGTCATCTGTATTTACTAAAGAAAAAAGAAGCATCAAGCAAATAAGCAAAAAAATCCCACCCCCCCCCGAGCCCACAAAACACAAAAATACTTCTTCATTTTGTGAATTTACATCTGGTGCTCTCCAAAACTGCAATGTCTTTTCTGGGTCTGTTCAGCTGTTACAGATTTCCAAGTCTTCCAAAGAAGGCCTAAAGGCCTTTGGCCTAGAAACTCTGACCTCACGGCTACTGTGAACCTTCACCTAGTTGACTGTAGGAAGCATTAGGAAAATATAAAGCCCTACCAACACTCAGTAAAATTTTCTACACATGAAAAATATGTCTAGCTCAGCACAGGCAAATTTTTCAAGAGCAGGCAACCTGGCAATTAGCCAAAATACTAATAAGGGCCCCCTCCTCCAGCTGACATTAGTATTCAAATCTCTCTCTCCCTTGTTGCCAGGTACATCTGGGAGATTCTATGCAGGGAGCAGCCTAGAATGTGTTGTTAGTATACATAACATAGTATAATATTTTTTGGTTACTGCAATTTCAAGTTTGCCATATTTTTGCAGCTTGGGAGGACTCAGTAGGCCCAGGCCAGGCACAGAGCAAGGACCTGTTGTGCAAGATGATGTAACTGCCCATTTTTACTAAAACCAAAACTCATTCCCTGCCCACGCAGCTTGCAGTGTCAGTTACCACAGCACATGCTGGGCAGGCAGAGCTCAGGAATAGGGAGCTTGGACAAGAACACAGGCAGAGGAGATAGCAGCAAAACAAATCTCACCGGGCTCTTTGAGTCATCTCCTGCCTGGATGGCGAGCGTAAGTCCTAAGCAAATGAGATTTCTAAGTGCTCTGGGTCAGACACCACCAATAACACTAAGCAGCATTTGGGGGTTGAAACTTTGAGGCCAGAGGTGGTGGGGGGTGTTTCTCCAGTAAAAAATAGAGACTGTACTTGGACCAAGAGGGACTGCTCAGATATCCCGGCTTCTGCTCATGATCACAAGGACCTTTTAACTGATGAGTAGTGCAAGAGCCATCTCCTGCTTGCCCTGGAGCACTGTTTATCTGGAAGTGAGGTCTCAGAAGGAATGGATTATTTTATGAAAAACTTGAGCTCCAGGAGATGGGCTGCATTTTTGCCTTGAGCGTTTCTCTCAGTGGCAACCAAGATACAGTTCACCAACAGTTCTCTGGGAGTCTCTGCTCTTCTGAGTCTGAATTTTGGCTGAGAGCAAAATTTCTCATAAACTACACAGAAGTTCACCACCCAAGTGTCTGCATGCAATTTGCATTGAAACCACACTGAAACACTCAACAACAATCAGCTTTGGCAAATAGAAATTGAAAATATGTAGAAATAGTTTAGGTGAAAGGAATGTAATTATGCACTGTGACGAACAGTTCACGAAGGTCAGCACTGCACACAGAGGAAAAATAAAGGAGAATCATGTCATCATGTTTTATGCAATTACTACAAACTACAGCAGATATTTCAGTATTATTTTATTTAGATGGTGGAAATTGTTCTTAAATAATTTGTAGTCTTTTCTGACATAACGAAAAAGCCCAAATTTACTTTATTTAGTTCTCAAAGATGAAATTATGGTAGCCTTTTCTAGATGGAATTTAACATGCATTAACATACATTAAAAGTATCTAAAATTTTGGCAATTAAACCTCATTTTTAAAATTAAATATAATTTAGATTAAATTATCTTTCATGATTTGTATGACATTGCACTGCTGCAAATCTAACGTTGTTGGTAGAATCATGCTCTTCTTTCAAAAAGATCTGAAGTTCAACAGCATCTTGACCTCTGACTAGAGCTTGTAACAGCTGCTAAGAACAAAAATAGTAGATAATAAAAGCCTAATGTGAATGATGTAATGGCAATACCCTGGATAAATATGCCCAAGGCAAGATGAATCCAGTGTCACAGTTGTTTGTACTAGCATTTGCTTTTCTTCAGTAGACAGAGCATATTAAGTTCTTAGCACATCTGTAGTTCTGGTGTGAAACCAGGGTCAATGTGCATTTCTGGGGTTCCTTTCAGACCCAGTACATAAGGAATACAGCAATTTGTTCCAGCTCCTAAGCTGTACTTTTGAGTTCAGACTCTGTTTAAAAGGTTTGAGAACTGGAGGTACCTTCAGGTCAGTTGCTGATTTTGACCAAAAGGGAAGCCACAACATTTCTTAGCAGCCTCAACCAGTTTGCTCTGAGATGGAAGTTACTAAGTAACTATAATTATCTTGGAACTCCTTGCTGAAGTTAAACAGGCCTTTTCGACCCAGGGACGGTAATGCTTCTTTAGGCAAACAGGTAAACAAAGGCACAGAAAAGCAGGCAATGATCCCAGGTCACACCATTAGTTATTATCATATTGGAAGTACAATTCATAGGCCACTGCTTGATCACGAGACCACTACAAGGTTGGCTGAGGCAGACAGAAAGGGTGGGTTTACAAGCTGCTTACACTGCAGTGACAGTTAATCTCTTAAGGCAAAAAAACCCAGTTCTTTAGAAACAATCATGTGTACTATATTAAAATGAAAATAAAAATTTAAAAAGGGGGATAGGGAAAGCTTCCCAGAGGATAGTTTCTGAGCTTGCTTATGGAAAATTACTCATTTATTAAAAAGAGCGATTTATCAGACTAATTTCCTTCTAGTAACCAGAGACCTTTCAAAACTTGATTGCAGCTAATATGCCAGTGTTACAAAGCATTTTATTCAACTATCAAATAAGATAGTAAATACTTTAATCTACTGTTGAGATACAAAGTGGGCTGAGCAGGTAGCAGGGGTGCAGATGAAACTGTGCTATGCTTCAGCTCCTCAGAGAGGCTAAGTCCTGCAGGAGAGATGAGGGAGTCAAAGAATGTGCAGAGGCAGCTCTGCCTGTGCACAAAGTCGCATTACCCCTAACCTAAACAGCACCAGAGAGCTCCATTAAACATTCACACACCAGCTTGCAAGTGGAGATTGTCCAACTAAACAGCTTGGTCAGTGAAGACAAAATGTCACAACTGCCCCACCTCTGTTCTATGCTTTGGTGATGCCTCACAGCTCCTGCCCTAGAAGAACAGAAAACAATAGGACTCCCAGTTCTGGCCTGGGGAAAGGAAGCTTTGGCACTTGTAATCAGTGTCACGTAGCCTCTGGACAGAAGGGATGAAATTGCATGTACCTGTCATGTGTAGCTGGACATAGCGACTCCCAGATGCAGGACTCACCAACCACAAAGTACCTTGCCAAAACACATATACCATAAAGTGGCAGGTTTGTACTGAACCCCTTCAAGCTAAGCAATATTTACTCAACTTTAGCCTGTGATAAGCTAAATATAAATATTTGGTATTGGTATTTTTATTCAATTCCTCCTTCTCTTAACTAATGTCTAGCAAAGCTTGTCCCTATCCTTGGAGATTATTTGGGTACAGCCACTCCTATGAAGCCCTCATTTTTATTTAACACCTAGATGCATTAAGAAGTTGAACCTTGACTTTGCTGGAAACATTCAAAGTCTAGAAGGTAAAATGATTAGTAACAGGAGGAAAAGTAGCTCACATGTTGCTGAACTAAAACATCACATGAGACAGAAGCTCGCAGTTTCCTAGCTAAGATGCTGATCCCACTGGTTTGTTGATCAGGTGAGCTACTTACACCTTTTTGCTGCAATAAGCATTATTGAAACAGACCCAGTCCAGCTCATTACCTCTACACAATTTCAGATGAAGTTACTAAGGTCATGTCCACTTTATGAATGCTGACAATCATTGTTGATATCAAACTGAGAAAGCATGGCTCAGGATGTGGGAAAGACAACTTCACAGCTACTAGGAGGTGTTAAAAATGACCTCATCTTCTCATTTACTTCTGGTACTGAAATAAGCCGTTGATGAAAATACTCCCTCCCCCCCTCCCAGCCCCAGACTGCCAACCTCCTGAAGATCAACACATCTGCAAATACATTCTGCAAACCTCAGGGAAGAAAGCCAGATTGCAGCCTGCCTTATCTCTTCTGACTGGCTGAATGTATTTCAGGCCTCAAGCATCACATGACTGTACATAACATATGAATACAATAACTAACATGGCTTTTATAACAGATCAGCAGGGATCAGCAGTGTTGAACAAACACCCTTATTTGCAAAAGCACCTTCCCAGCCCATGAAGCAGGTGACCTTGTCTCCCAAGGGTTACAGTGCAGAGTTAATGATCCACAAATTAAGGATTTGAAATTTATCCACAGCTCCCCTCTTAACCACACAATTTTGCACCAAATCAAATAAACACTGTCACTGCTCTATAGAAACCCAGTGTTGTAAGAGAGGCCAGAGTTCAGGAGGCAGTGGACAGTGCATTTTCTGCAAGAAGGGATCTGCTGGTGGGGACAAGATTTTATGAGAAAGCATAGATCAGTATCTTGTTCAATGGCCTTTGTTGTACCTCCCACTGAAGAACATAGTGCATATCTCACCGTCTACTATGTGACCAGGTAAGGCTCCACAGTGGCTTGAGGACTCCTAAAGACCAGTCCAATCTGTAAACCATTAGTATTTTCCAGAAACAGGTTTATATACACTGGAAAGATCTGATTGTACAGGACAGAATCCTTTATGCTCTGCTGGATCACTGGATTCACAAGATTTATTTCCACATGAAATGCGATATGGAAAAATCCCCTGTATATGGAAAAATCCCCTTGCCTCTTGCACTCTCAATAAACTACATCCCATATCTCAATGGTGAGAAGGCCTTATTTGCCCAAATATTTATAGAGTAACCTTATGTGCACAGAAGGCAGTACACTTCTGACCAGACCACCCTTCTTTTACAACTGGTGTAGCTAAGTTGAGCTCACAGGGTCTTGTCATTTCCACTTGAAGACCCCCTGAATCTGTTGGTCAATATAACCTCTGGATAAATCCTGTGGACTTTTGATTTTGTGGGCCTGGAACAACATGCACTTTCCTCGCTAGGGAGTTTTTGGCTGTGGCAGTGCATTTACTGCTGTTGAAGCTGGCTTTAGAAGCTGCAGCCTGCCCTAAGAGACTAATTCCTACACATTTGCTGTGCTAGTCAAAGCTTTTGTCTGGCCACAGGACTGACAGGGAGCTCCTGTGGTAGAAGTTCAACAAAGAGGGCAAAACTGAATATTTGAAATCCACTCTACAGCCTGCCCTCTTTAGGAGAAGCTGAGGCAAGCAGGCAGGAATCAAAGTAAGGGAAGGTGGCTTTGCTGGGCCTGCTGGTCATTTGTCTGTAAAAGACAGCAAGCCTGAGCCAGCATGTCCTGGTCTGTCTTGGCAGAAGTTCTTACAGGGAAGCAGCCTAGTCTGTCTAACCACCTCCATTTCCTCCAGCACTTTATCAACATCCATTCCCTCCTGTTTGTTTCCAGTAGGGTCTTTTTTAGATGATTGCTTTGATACAAATGAGCCCTCCTGCAGCAATTTAGAAGATAAAGCCCAGTTGTTCTCATAGTTTCTAACATGGGGTCTTCCTTTAAATATCTCAACCCTTTTGATTCCGGACAGCAAATTCCAGCAAATACTTGAAAATACTCTCCTCCTCTTGCCTGTCCTACCAGCATTAAGTTTTTAACCTATTGTTATCCCTTGAAAACAGGCTACAGCAGCATGCACAACTGTTCTCATGCACTTCCTGAAGTTTAATAGTAGACACACACCAATAACAAAATGAAGGATATACTAAAGAGACATTGAAACAACTAAACAGTTAGAAAATGTACACATATTTGCCTACAGCAGACCCACTTCTGTAACACTTGGGAATCATGTATGATAGTTTCAGGTTCTAATTTGCAAGTGCAAGAATCCTATAAATGTCATATCTATCAATAGGATAACTCTGCAGAGAACTAGAAATGTGTTTTCACTTCTTCCTATTGTGTGTTCCACCATGGTGACATAGGAATACTTTATACTTGGATAATACACCATATTTGTAGGTTCATAGATGCTGCAAGGGAGGAGTTGCTGAAACAAATGCAGCGATGAACATAATGAGCTGTAGAACTGGACCATCTTGCCTTGAATCCTGTTTCACACAGTAACTCATGGCAGAATGTAAGAATAGAACATTTTTGTAGCCCCTCCTGCTGCACCCACTCTACAGTCTAACAGGTAGAAAAGCTCACATCCTTCTAAACCACTCAGTCTTCATTTTAAGAGAAAATTTTAGTAGTAAAAGTCTGAGTGCCCTGAAGAACTAAAGATGAATTGAAGAACAAAGTCTGTTAGACAGCAGGGTAAAAAACACTGAAATATTTTAAAATGGAACATTACAAACACTGAAAACAGTCTAAAGAAATGGGACAGCAAGACACACAGGGAAGCAGGTAGAAGGAGGCAGAGTCAACTGCATTTACGTGTGTAGAAAGTCTGCTTTATAAGAAACAGTTCACTGCTAGGTTAAATCATGGCTTTCCTCTGCCACTGGCCACAATAAAAAACAACAGCGACAACATGAAGAATCCCAGCTTTAGGGATCAAAGGAGAAATTCAGGCACACTGTTTTTTAATATGGCCACACATATCCCCTTTACAATTGTTTTCTCTCTCCCTGTTACAACTACTTATATCTTTGTCTTGAGAGCTGAGAGGTTTGACTAGTGCTTATAAAGCTGGCTGTTTTCAAGGTCCCATTGCTGCTTGTACCAGCCAGCATGTAACACACTTCTTTACACTCAGAGTCACTTTTCAAATCTCAGTTTTGATTACTTCAAGGCTCTGTTTCACGCTATGCTGTTATTTATTTTAATGAACTCTGCCTACTCTATCATTTGGTTCATACTAGGAGATCTTTGGAGCTGTTATGCTGCACACAAATACAGGATGATACAGAAAGTAACCTAAATGGAATGAGGCCAAACAACATGTAATCATGTCTAACAAGGAGGGAGGGGAGAAAGTGCAGAGGGGGATGGGTGGGGAGAAGTGAGATGCACTAAATACTGTGTGAAGAAAACCCATGCTTCTTACTATACATGAGGCCTGGCAAATAAACAGGAGGTCAGCTCTGGCTGAAAGGGAAGAGGAGGGTCGGCGATCAGGTGGATGGACAGTGAAAGCCATTTACTGCATTGGCAACTGATTTTTTTCTAGTGGCCTGTTTTCACAAGGGGGCAAACATAGTTCTAGAGAAAAACCTCTGCAAGAAATTACTCCTAATTTTTTTTTCTGCATTTTTTTGCAGAAAGCAGAAAAGGGAAAAAAAGTACAGTTACACCAAGAAGAGAGTCTCCAGACAGCTACCTGCTTCCTAATCTGCTTGTTACCTGAAGACTAAGCCTTCTCAGTTCTTTGCACTAACTAGAGTCCTCTTTACCTCTCTTCCCATAAAAATCATATTAATTTCTTACTCTTTAAGTGAAATGAGTAGGCAGTGATTTTATGATGTGCTTCTTGGGCAGAGATAGAAATGGGATAAACTTCTGAGGCAGAAATAACACAAAATTTGTTTCCATGTTTGCAGAACAAATGGATGAATTTAAGGGAAGGCAATATAGTCACAAGAATATTTCACTGCCCATGCTAAATAACAGAAAGGTCTCTGCACTGTAGTAATTTGTCCCCAGGGGAAATGATAATGAAATAAATACTACACAGTATTTGTTTAACTCAGGAATGTGCAAAGAGAAAGAAGAGCAGGAGATGATGAAGCCTAAGGAAGAGGCTTTACCCCTTTTAAGCCAAGAGGTTTTTACCCCTTCCTCGTAACCAGCCACAGTCATGGAAGCACTTTATCTTGTTCTCCGAGTTCTTGGACATGAACCTCTAACTAAGCATACCAGAACTCCCCCTACTGAGGAGCCATCACAACCACAACTAAATACTTGGGGAATTTCTTTGGCAAAAGACTTCTCTGTTGGAAAGTGATGATTTGTTGAAAACAAAGCTTTCTGTGGAAAACTGTCATCTTCAACAAAATGTTAGCTGGAAGATGTTCCTCTGTTCACAGTGCAATTGCTTGGCAAGACTAGGCAGATCCAGCATCCCTTCTGGGGTCCTTCTGCACCAGCCATGCACTGCATGGACAGACAGACAGACAAGCACAACCCAGAAAGGGGAGCCTCTTTGGTGAGAAGGCCAGATTTAGAAGAAGTGTTTGAGCCTGGCCCTCCCACTGGGCTACTGCTATAATGAAAGGGAATTGGTTCCTATCACAGTCTCTTTCTCCAAAAGGTAGGCTTAGGCACTTTGTTCTTCTTTTTCAAGAAGAGAACAAACAAAAAGACAAAATCACCAAACTTTTTATAAAATAGCACTCTGTTTCCACACTCTAGTTTTAACACAAATTACATAATTGCACTCACACTAGGGCTTGATAATTATTTTGGCTAAAGAAAACTAAACAAGGACAAAACCTTGTAAGCCTTGTGATAGCACTACATTTAGAAAGATTAAGATTTAAAGTCTTTAGAAGGATAAGACTTAAAATGAGAGACCCTTCATTGCTCTCTACCCCCCCAGCCTGAGACTGGATCTCCTTGCATGCAACACTTCATTATCAGCACTGTTTCAACAAATCAGTGGAACAAGGGGCAAGCTGAGTTTCCTGACTAGGGAAGCAGTGCTTTCTGATGGTGTTTAAGAGCCCTCAAAGTCTGCCTAAATGTGCCAGATACTCCTTTTAAATTATGTGGCTACAGTAAGATTTTGTTTCCAATAATCTAACTGCAGGAAATGTTTTCTTTTAAGCCAGAGGAAAGACAGAAAGGCCCTTTCTGGTTCTTGAATCTTTTTATGCTGTCACAAGCAACTGCATTGTTTAAATCCTTTCCCAGAGATCTCAGACCCTGTATATGCCAAGGGCTTATAAAACACAGCTCAGCTGCTTGGCAAATTCTTAGTGAGCTCAACCTGGGTGTGTTCTTGTCCATGCTCATGGCTGTAGGGTTGGGGCCCAGGGCTGAGGAGCTCAGTGTCCTGCACTGTGCTGCCTTGCTCAAGCAGGTAATGCATGTTTTACTGTAGCTGTCCTGAGTCTGAAAAGAACTGTGCCTCTCCCTGATTCTGTATTTCCAAGGCAGCATCCTCATCTAGCTTCAAGTCCCTATCAAACTTAGACAAAAAACAAATGAAATAATTACCTATTGAATACATATATATATATATATATACACACACACATATATATATATTCTACCAAAGAACAAGCAATTTTAAAATATATTTAGCTGATTTTTTGGAATCCATAAGCCATGGAAACAGGATATAGACAAAATCTTACAGATGCTACTGGCTGGAACACAGCTGAGTGTAAATTAATTGAGATTCTAAGCAACAAGGAAGGCCTGTCCACAAACTAACTGTGAGCTCACAGCCACCTTGACCCAAGTCTGCAGTTAGGGTTAAGAGCTGAGCCACAGCCATTTCAAACACCATGACATTATCTCACCTCAAGTCCTTTTGCTAGTCCAAAATAAGGTTTATTTGTGGATTGGTATTTTGTGACTGACATTTTTATGTACCTTATTTTCTGTTGTGGCAATGACTGTTGTAGCAACAACAAGTGATAATGCCTTGTACTTCAGAGTTTGCTGATGTATAAGCTACTCCAGAGGCAATTGCCCAGGGAGAAAGCAGCAATGAGCCATGCATTAGCCATGTAGAGAGCATTGAGAAGAGTTAGAGCATGCTGCTGTGCCACCAATCTTCTCAGCAATTAGAAAAAGAAGGGTTGGCAGAGATACTGGGTCCCCGGCAGTGTTTCCCGTCAGGTTTTTTGAGCTGTAAAACTCAAGGGCTAGAAAAGGAAAAAAAATTTCAAGAGCCACTTGGTGTGAGGAAGGGGCTCTTTGCCAAAGCATAGGTCAATGGAAATCTGCTGTGACCAGAAGAGTAAGTAATACAGAGATTGCCCCCATGTCACAGTGTCTGCTAGCATAGTGACTTCCAGCATCCACATCACCACTTCTGACTGACAAGGTGACCATGACTCCATCAGCAATGTGTACACACCATGTTTGGTACTGTCCTAGATGTAAAACAGTTTATGTAGAAAAGGAATATTAAACCTATCTCCCCAAATAGCAAAAAGAGATTCTTTTCCTAAAATATTGATGCTGAATGTCAGTTTGATGCCAATCACTGATTTTTAATTATTTTTTTATTGCTCCACAAGACTTTTCCATGCAAATGCTAAGTGTTCCAATTGCTTAGATAATCCAGTCTAAATATGTATAGACTTTGTAGGAAGTAATGGCTTGGTTATAGCTTTTACTAATGGTAGGAGAGAGATCCATAATATAATCTTGTAAGACTTGACTCAGTCGGACTTCAGAATCAGATTTTGGCACACTTGTCATCTCTGTATTTAGACTCTTTGACATGGATTTACAGCCTTTTAAATCTGTTTCTTCCCAACTTTCAGTCTAAACATTTCCTTGGATACACAGAAATATCCAGGACAAATTAAAATACATGCACTGACTAGCTGATCACAGATAACTTCATCTGGTAGTCAAGAGGAATATTCCTATTACACTGTTGTTGACAAATCCAGAAGCAAAGATTCTTTATGAGAAAAATGTGCTGCTAGCAGTGCAGGCTTGCCAGAAAATCAAATTCTGTGAACATAAACGGCTTGATACTGAGGAGAAATAACATTTAGGCCACTATTGGAAAGCTACAGTGTTGTGGTTTTTTTCTTTTTATCACTCAAAAGAGAGAAAAAAGGAACTTCAAGTCAAGTGTCTTTGCACTAAGCTAAAAGAAATTATTAAAAGGGATTTTTTGTTAGTTTGGTTTTGGTTTTTGGTTGGTTGGTTGGCTGGCTTGGTTTTTTTGGTTTGTCCTTTATATGGAATCTATCTGGAGAGAATGGCATTGATAAAGTGTTGAAAAAACAGAAAGCAGACTGCCTCCTATAGTCTGTATGTCCCGTATGCTTTTATCTGCACCAGTAGCAAGAGGAACAACTTCAGGCAGCCAGGATAATATCACTGTCACTTCTATGGTATGGTCACTTCTGTGCAAGTCCCTCTTTGAAAGCAGGTACCTATGAAGTAGTACAACTCCACCAGACTTCACTGGATAGCACTAGCTTACAGCAGCTCTGATTTTCATCCTTGTTCTGTGACCACCAGTATGCTAGTAAACAATGATAAGAGATTTAAAGAAAAGACCAATGATTTTCTGTAGTCATTTCAGGTTTTCTTGTACTGTGCTTTTCCAATTTAGAGATGACTTCCTTATTAACCCAGTTTGCCTTGTGGTATCACAAATAATCGAGGTGCTTTTCTCTGCTCTGCTGGTCTACCACTCAGTACAAAAGCTGCATATGCAATTGGATGACAAAAACTTATCTACTGCAGAGTAGCAGCAGGCAATCCTTGGTATTGACCCTGTGATCTTTACCAAGTTGGAATTGCCATGGAATTGATTGAGGTGTGCAGAATTCACCTTTAAAGTTCATACATGAACAGAAACACACATGAACAGAAACACACGAGTAGGGACTCTCACAGTCCCAAGAAAGGTAAAATGTAACATCATATGCTAATGCAAGGATATCAGAAATTAAAGTCCTTCTACAAAGAGCAGAAATTAACTATTATTTTGTTCTGTTCATTTATTTTCAACTAGGTATTTCCCCAACCCTTTATTATTTTAGAGTATAATGAGAAACACGCTTCCAAGCCTATATGAATGTGATGTTTCAAAAATATATTCCCCACGTAAATTAGAAGAAAAATATAAACTTCATTGTTTCATTGCAACTATTCATTTTGTCTTTTTTTTCCCCCAGTTTAAGCTCCCATTTATGTGTTTCAAATGCTACAAATTATAAAGGAATTGTTCAAAGTAGATGTTTCAATGTCAAAACCTTTCCTGTAAAAATCATTGTAAAAGAAAAAATGTGATAGGATAGGCTCAGAACAAGCTTTCTCCTGAAAAAAAGGTTAGATTTGAATGAATTATCATTTTACAACACAGACATTTGAATAAGAAACTTGTGATGAATTAATTTCAATAACCTCTCAAGAAAAAATCCTTTTACTATCTGTAAGCCTGGAATTACTATGCAAGAGTGCTGAAGAGTGCTAGAGACAGGAGACAGGTATGTACTCAGAGCCACCTGGGTACTTCTCCTTCATGACTCACTCTGGAAACCTCAAAGGAAGCACAGAGAGAGTATTCCTCTCCAAATGACAACAGAACAATCCATGCCCTTGACAAATCAGGTCAGAACAAAGTAGGCTGCTTCATTTTCACTTGTTACTCCAATATCCTTTTGCATGCTTTTCAACAAGACAAGAAGAGTACATTACATGGCTTTCCCCCATCCACATTATCCTGTTCTGCATCTCTATTGACAATACATGCTGATGAGTTAAATTCTTTCCTTAGAGCATGACTGTATATGGAGTTGTGTTCTCTTCTCCAAGAACGTGAACAGGAAGCACATTCTGAGTCTTGAGATTCTACTCATCAATTGTGTATGCCACTATTATAGCACTAAGCTGTCACAAAAATAATAGCTTAATTACATTTTCATGATGAGAAGTTTCCACTAAAAACGATTCAATAATGCATTATACTATTTTCCATGCTTATGACCTGGAAGATTGTAAAATATTATCCAGGTTACCTTTCAGACCTCATGTTTATCACTTCCATTCATCTGTGAAGAGATAACTTTCCCTCTTACACAGCTAGGACACCTTATAAACAAGGTACCTTTCAGCTCTGCAGCTCAGAACTGACAAGGGCTACATATTATACTCTGCTGTTCATTAAAAAGAGAAGGGAAGAAAAGCATGCATGACTCCATGAAATGAACAGATCACACACATAAGGCCACAGACAGCAGTGGGAATACAGTTGTTTCCATGATCTCCTGTTTTGCCTCAGAAAGCATGTTAGGAATACAATTAAGGAAATGCTATGTGCCCACTTCTATTGAATGTATAAGTTTAGCATTTCTTAGAGACAGGCCTTAAAGACTATAATTTCTATAAAGGAGCAATGGAAAATCAGTTATTTAATTTCTTAAACTACAGTAAAATAAATTACTGTTTCTAACACCACTCAAATTGGAGCAGGTCAGATTCTCCCATCTTTTATTGGGCATAAACAACCCCAAACAAAAACTAACTTATGATGATTTCTGCAACAAACAAGATCCTGCTAAAGTTAAATGCATGTGTTTTTCTGTGTAACAATGCAGGTTTTTTCTACTAGTGCTGATGCAAATGATTGTTGTGGGTCAAACATACCCTTCCATGAAGTGTGTCTGTTTTGGAAAGGTGTGAGTAGAGATGTAGATGGATCAACAGAGATGCTATGCAAGGCAAACGCTCAGCCTTGTTCTACCAGATGAAGAGGAAGGCTTCAATGAGACTACGAACCACAGGTTTGGTGTTCTTTTGGCATTAATATTTATGCATAAACACCTTTCTTTCAAGACAGATGTCAGCATTTGCCTGCAGAAGGTCATGGCGGGTTTTCTCCCAGCCCAGCCAGATCTACTGAATTCTCACAAGTAGTTAACAAAAAGATAAGATAGGACTGGAGCCCAATAAATCCAAGACCATTTATCAATCACTCATTCCATTGCTTCCAATCTTGCCTCTCCTCCCATTTGCCTAAGGCTTTAGGCTCATGTCATCAAATACTGAAAGGCAATAATCTAGATCAAGAAGAAGGGAGTGAATTCTATTGCTGAAAAGACCATATGAGTAAAAACATCACACACAAAGAAACACAGTAAATTGGAAAGCTGAAGAACAAATACCCTTCTCTTCCCTTCCCTTCCCTTCCCTTCCTGCAGAAAGCATATATCCTACACATGCTCCTATCAACAAAAAACCAACATTGACCAAAGCCAGTGTTCCCAGGGAAACACTCTGTTCCAGGCACAACCAGCCAGGTTACATCCCTACCTCTGCAGTCACTTTCTGATTGCAAAGGGTAATATTATCTTTGTAAATGATGGACACAAGATCTGGGCAAATGCAATATCTAGTTTTAAAAAACCCTCTGTTGAGATTATACAATCTACAAATGTAAAAAAAAAAATACATGTCCTACCAACCTCATGAAAGGCAGAAGATTTAGCTAGAAGCTGTTTAGAAGGAAATACAGAACTCTGGCATTGTATTTATGATGCTGGCTAGATCTACTGGGCACTCTCAAGGCCAAGTTGTAATCCTGGGACCAGTGTTTAGTTCACTGAGCACAAACTACAAAGTTGCAGCCAGGCCACGCTGCTGCACTCTCACACAGCCAGCAGCAAAAGAGGAAACAGAGCAGCAGCACTGCCAGTACTCTGCAGAGGCACGAGAAGGTCAGTGTTCCACACATATGCTCTACATATAGACATGTGTCTATGCACTTGCAAGGAGTTTGTTCCCTCCCCTGCTGTGCTACATGTTGTGTTGTACATACAGCCTCTGTTTTCTGATGGCAAGCCTTAAGGAAGTACCATGGGAACAAGCTCCCTGGACATGCATGAAATCATTTGACTTGTCCATATTCTACTTTTTCAAGCTTTGACACACAAGTTTCACTTCCAGAAAAAACAAAACAAAACAAAAACAACAAAGAGGGCTAAGACATAGGGAACTGATTTGGACCTCCGTTTTAGTTGTCAGCACACTGTTAAAGCCTATATCTGATGCCACAAAGACTATTTCTGTCACTTTCTACAAGAAAAGGAATAGTTAGGTTAGCATGAGATTCCTTGTGTCATTGACAATTTCATAGTATTGGAATCAGGTGGACTTTCGCTGTTTCATCTCTATTCAGTTGTTTGCTTTGTAATCAGTCTATTTTTAAAACTGGAATCATCTCTCATGGATATTTGGCTGTGTCTGAGTGCAGTACATGAATTAACCTTCAAATGTGCAAATGTAACAGCCTGCAATGATTGCAGTCATCTTTCATTATAGACCCTTTTTACAAAAATAGGTTTTTTCCACATAGGAGATAAGCTTCTTCAAAATTAGCAAAACGAATACCACAGGCATCAAAGGGAGGAGGCACCAGAGGCAGAAACCAAGAAGCAGCTATCTCTCAGCCCAAGGCCAGGGACAATGTGACTATCCTCACTGTCCTCCCTTGAACTCTGCCAGGAATATTATCTCTGTGCTGGCCCCAGAGCAGATGCACATCACCTCTTAGCACCTGAGCTTGAGCTGGCATTACAAACTGCTTTGTTTCCAGCTGTGGCTCAGGACTCCACACACAAATGGTTCTCCTGCCATTCCAAAGGATTAGCAGAAGCATCTGGCCAAGAAGTGATACAACTAAGAGAGGTGATACCCAAAACTGTGGCAGTAATAGTGATCTGCTTTCCTCTATAAGAGTGTTTAGGCATGTACTCACTATTCTTAAAGCCTTCCCAATATTAGAGGGACTTAGCATGTGCCTGAAGACTGCCAAACACATGAATTGAAGCACCTGCCCAAAGCTGTCAGATGAACTGCAATCTCCAGAAACTGAAGAGCTATTTTAGACGGTGGCCATGAAAGACAAGTATTTTCCAGAAGGCTTAACATAACCCCCTCAAAAAACAGGATGCTTGAGGTCACTGTAAATGCTCCATAAACCCAGGATTTACTGGGATCACATTTCATTAGAAACCAGAGTGTATGTGCAGTGAAGGAAATGCAGCAAAATGGTTTGTAGAATTTAAAGAATATTTTCTGGGATCTAATACAAAATATTTTTAGATTTCATGCTTCATCAGTTTTAACTTTTTGTTTTAAATTGTGATTATGGCATTCACACTGCTTTGTAAAGAGAATTCATAGCACATAGTACCAATTAAGATTGTACTCAGGCATACTTTTTGGTTTTGATTCTTTCCCCAACAGAGAATATAAATACATATTAGCGTCTCAAAATAGGTGATGAAATCTCCTTCATGGTACTTAACTGCTTTAGAGACAGTTTCATCAACATATTCTCCAATAAACTGATTAACATATTTTTCAAGAGGCAGAAACTGTTTCCTCTCTGGAACCTGGGAAAGGAGTTCTGTTCTCACACCTAAATGTACTAAAGTGATGGAACACTGCTATCTCAGCTTCTAGACACAAATAGCATAGCCATATTCTCTGGTGGGCCTGTCCCAAATTTGTTTTTCTTTCGTTTAAAACAGAAACCTGGAATTTGTTCTGGTTTACCCAAACTGTAGTAGATTCTCAGATAGATGTTCTCTTCAGGACAAGAGTAAAGAAGTTTATTCAGGGACTATCCCAGAATTATCAGCCAGACACATCACTGCCTGTGAACCCATCTCAGAGCTCAGGCATAGCTCCAGAAGCCCAAGACTATTTTTGCCATCTGCAACGCTTGTCACACCCTGGCAGCTGAGAAGAGCCTGCACTGCTGCTTCCTCCACTGGAGGTTTGGAGGCAGTACAGAGGGAACAGAAGGAAGCACGAAGAACATTTTGTATTCTTGTGTTTGTGCTATGCAGAATAACAGGCTGTTTGGTGGTTTGTGTCAGGCACCTGGAAAGCAATTACCCTTGAGCTAGTGCAGGTTCTCACACCTCTGTGAGTAGATCATCCCTCGATTGATAGACTGACAGTGACTGCTGGCACTAAAAAGAACAGGCTATGTAGCCAACGTCTGCTGACGTAACAATTTTTTCTAAACTTACAAATAACAACATCAGCAGGCATTTCTTAAAAGGTTCATGGGCCTCAGTGATATTAAAATATTTTGTTACACTGACCTTGGGGCTTGTAGCACCACCCATGTTTAAGTGAAAATCCCTTAACAGACTGAATTAAGAGGCAAAACAATTTTTCCTACAACATGACAAACAGCAAGAGGACAGATTGCTTATTGACTTTCCTTTGCTCTTTGTCTTTCAAAACAC